GAAACAGGTCATGAGCCTGAACGGGCGTATAGCGGCGCTAAATTGCTTCATGTCAAGGCTAACAGATCGCTGCTTGCCATTCTTCAATGTACTCAAGGCCAATAAGAAGTTTGATGGACTCCTAAATGCGAACAGGCTTTCCAGAGAATAAAGGAACACCTCGGGAAGCCACCACTTCTATCCAAACCTCTCCCACAAGAGATCCTCATTTTGTACCTGTCTGTCTCGCAGTTCGCGGTCAGTGCAGCTTTGTTTCGGGAAGAGAACAGAACACAATGGCCAATATATTATACGAGCAAGCGCCTGTTGGATGCCGAGCTGCGGTATCCGAAAATGGAGCGATTAGCCTATGCCCTACTAATCACTTCCTGAAAGTTGCGACCTTACTTCCATGCCCATACGGTTCACGTATTGACTAACTACCCGCTCAGGCAGGTCCTCCAAAAACCAGAGGCGTCAGGTAAATTGTTCAAATGGGCCATGGAACTCAGTCAGTTCGATCTCCATTACAAACCAAGATCAACTATCAAAGGGTAGGATGTTGTTGACTTCATATCAGAGTTCTCGCATCATCCAACGAACGAGTCAAAATAGCCCAGCGAAGTCATCCAGGAACTGTTCGAAATCTCTCCACCTGGACCCTCTAGTCGATGGATCATCGAACAGGAAGAGGGCCAGGGCGGGTCTTCTCTTGTTGAGTCCCGAAGGGGGTCGCATTCATGGCATTCTCCGATTCGATTTCAAAGCAACCAATAATAAGGCCGAGTACGAAGCTCTACTCGCTGGACTAAGTTTGGCCAGGGAAATGGGCGCAACCGCGATCAGCGTCCACAATGACTCTATGCTGGTCATTAAGCAGATTTTGGGAGAGTACCAAGCCAAGGAAGACAACATGATCCATTATCTGAAGAAAGCTAAGGCCGCACTCGAGCCGTTCAAGCACTTCACGATCACTCAGATTCTAAGAGAAAGCAATTTTGTGGCAGAAGCCTTGGCAAGAATAGCCTCATCATTGGACTCGGATGCACCGGAGAGCATTCCTGTTCGGTTCATCGAGATCCCCAGTATCAGCACAAACGAATAGGTCGTGAATATGACAGACTCAGATTCATGGATGACCCCCATTATTCGGTATCTCAAAGATGGGACCTTATATGACGACAAGGTCGAGGCAAGGATCCTGCGAACAAGATCTACCCGTTACACCCTCATCGGAGATCAGTTGTACAAGCGAGGGTTCAGCGCCCCTTTCCTCCGATATGTGAATAGCGAAGAGGCGGATTATATCATGAGAGAGATACATGAAGGGATCTGCAGTAACCACACCGCCGCACGATCTCTTGCTAACAAAGTTGTTCGCCAAGGGTACTACTGGCCCTTGATCTAGGAAGACACCTACAACTTTGTCAAAAGGTGCGATAAGTGCCAACGGTTCGCGAACATACCACGAGCTCCTTCCCATGAACTGATAACAATGACTAGCCTCTGGCCATTTTCCATGTGGGGAATCGATCTCATCAGTCCCATGCCGGTCGATAAAGGGGGAGTCAAGTATGCCATGGTCGCGGTAGACTACTTCACCAAATGGGTGGAAGCCGAACCACTAGCCGCGATCACGACCAAAAAGCTCAAAGACTTTGTTTTTAAGAATATTGTGTGTCGTTATGGAATTCCTCATACTCTCTTCTCGGATAATGGAAAACAGTTCGACAACGAGGAGTTCAAGCAGTTTTGCGATGAGTTGGGCATCCATAAAAAATTCGCCTCAGTCGCAAGACCACAAGCAAATGGTCAAGTTGAAGCTGTCAACAAAACCATCAAGCATACTCTAAAGGCCAAACTTGGTGCAGCTAAGGGGAATTAGGCTGATGACCTCCCCAAAGTCCTATGGGCGTACAGGATAACTCCGAGAACCTCTACCTAAGAAACACCTTTTTCGCTAGCATATGGTTGCGAAGTGATGATCCCTGTGGAGGTAGGAATTGGTTCACTTCGGAGGGACTTGTACAATGAGGCCGACAACGAAGCACTTATGAGAGCAAGCCTAGACCTTGTTGAAGAATATCGCAGCAAGGCTTCGTTAAGGATAGCAGCCTACCAGCAACGCGCGAAGAGTTTCTTCGATTCAAAGGTCAGACGAAGAGACTTCCAGGTCGGTGACCTAGTGTTGAAGGAAATTCTTCTCGGTACCAGGGAACCAAGTGCGGGAGTGTTAGAACCGAACTGGGAAGGTCCATACCGCATCGACAAAGTGATAAGACCGGGGACTTATCATCTCAAAAGGTTGAACGATTCCAAAGTACCCCGAGCTTGGAATGCTGAGCACCTTCGACCATACTATCAGTAATTCCGCACTCAGTATTCCTTGTAAATTTCTGATTTTTGTATATCATTTCCTTGTAAAGTGTTAATTTGTTCGCTTGTAACAGTCTTTGTATGTAATATTGTTCGTGTAAGTATGTTATCATGTTCGCATAGACTTGATCCAATATTGTAGACAATGCAAACTCATGTATAATAAAGCGAACAGAGAATTGTAAAAGCGAAAATGCATTTCATTAATGAGAAGAGTACAGCAGGCAAAATGGCATGACTACTAACCCTAATCTGACTCCTAGAGGACCGACCTCATCATCCTAGGGCTGGCCAACTGGAGGCTTCTCCAAGGCATGTCCCAAACCCCCTGTCCGATCAGATTTCTGGGCAGCCGCCAATTTATCATCCTCCCGCGCCATGGACATAAGGGTATCCCGCCAGTCCTCCGGAAGGTTGGACATATCAAGTCGCGGATTCTTCAGTCGCAAGGCATAGATAGACTCGATCGCCCATTCGACAGCCTTATCCTCGACCTCTGCTGCCTAATTCTACATCTCTTCGGTCAGGGAAGCAACTTTTCCCTGACTTGCCTGAAGTTCAAGAGCTTGCCTTTGCTTCTTGGAGGCATCCCTCTCTTGTTCTGTTCTCAAAGCCCGCAAACAGGTCGCTTTGAGCTCTTGGTCCTTCTCTCCGACCTCCTTGGAGAGCTTGGCTATGGTCCTTTGAAGCTCTTTTGTTTCCTCCGCATGCCGCTCGAGCTCTGCTTTTTGGAAGTCCACCGTTCGAAGAGCCGCGTCTCTTTCGTTCAGGTACCGGTTCGCTAACTCAAAAGATAGGTTTCTCTCTGTTTCGGCGGCTTCCAGGCTTCGCTTGAGCGTTGCGTTCTCTTCCTTCAGAGCGACCTCCCCCTTTGCGGCTCCCAGTCGAACCTTCTCCAGGGACATTCGCATGGAAAGCAGAGTCTGCGAACAAGGAAAGATAAAGTTAGCTAATCAAAAGGAGCTAAAGGTAGTCCTCGCCGAGGACAGTTCGTTCACCTTGCTTAAGTGTTGGACTGATGTGGACATTAGGTCCACGTCGCTGGAATCTGCGAACTGCTCAAATGATTCCGAGAGTTCGCACTCTAGTAAAGTGTAGACCACCAGCTGCAGGTACTCCGGCAAGTTCCCTAGTGAGTCCAGCACTGGAGTATCCTTCTTCACGCCTTTAGTAGTGTTCGTGTCATCCATCAGTTCCTTAATCGACCTTCTCACGTCTGGCCATGACCTCTCGAGTTGATCGCCCTCATATTCGGTCTCTGACTCTTCGACCTGAATCTGCATTCTCTTCTTCGATCGTTGAGCCGTTGTCTTTAGCCTCGGGCGAACAGCCAATGGCTGGGAGGCCTTCGCAGTTCGGATCGGTGCGTCCTCTGAAAGTTGGGTCTAAGAAGTTCCAGTAGGTCAAGCCGGTGGGCCCGATGTTACACCTCCATCCGGGGGAACAGTCAGAGCAACATTGGCCGCCTTGGCTTTCTTTGACCGAGGAAAATTAAGTAACCGTCGTCGCGGCTGCTCTGACTCCTTCGAAGGCATGGTCGCTGCATGCAAGCATCGTTATCAAAAGTATTTCATTTCATGACCAAAAAAGGACCAATTAACAAGACTTACTCAATGGGGGCTCTAAAGACGCGTTTGCGTTGAAGAAACCATATTTCCACAGATTCGCGGTCGTCACGAGCTTCTTCGCGTCGCGACAGTCCTCGGGCAGGAAGCCGAAATTCCAGATCCTATTCGGATCGAAAAGCAGCCCTAAGTCAGTAATCTTGTTAACTTTCAGAAAGGAATTAGGTCGTTAGAAAGAAAACACATTTTGAATTTAATGAATTCGTCTAAGGAAAAAAAGCCTACTCAGGTCCTGAAAGCTGCAATGGCCATCGTAGCGAAAGAAGAAAAACTTCATTTCGTAGGCCCCCGTGTTGCTAGGATAACTATGTATCCCCTCAGCTATGGTAGGTCGCCTGGACAAGTAATAAGAATCCTTATCCTTGCACTTTTTTAAGAAATATGAGCAGCCGAGCTCCACCGCGGTCAGCTCGCCCAACCCATTCTCATGACACACGATGTACATGGCAATAGCAATGACATACGCGTTCGGAGTGAGCTGCATCAACGCAATCCCGAAGTGATCCAAAAGCGACCTGATGAAAGGGTGGAAGGGGATCAATCCCCCACCCTTGATGATCTCCTCGGAGATCGCGACTAGCCCACTTGATGGGTATCGCGATGAGTGTGCCACGTTGAGGAAAACATCCACCTTGATACCATACTGTTTTATTACCCTCTCGAGCTCTTCCCCAGTGAGTACCGAGAAGACCTCAAAAGGGATACTCAGAGCACCCTGCGGGGACGAACAGGTCCCTTCCTCGAATCTGGTCATTAAGGGGTCCATTCTGCCGGTCTGCAAAAGTGACAAGCAGGAGGGTCATTTAGCTGTCGTACGCTATTTCGTACGATGACGTGGAGGGAAACAAACTCCCTAAATCCCAAAGAAAACCCTAACAGCATGATTCGAGCCGCCATTCATGGCCCGAACTTGACATGAGCGTCTCGTCTCTGATAAGTTACCGGAAGACTGACGCCATTTAACTATGGAAAACGAGAAAACAAAAACAGAGAAAGGTCCTTACCTCTCGGAGTACGAAAATGGCTTCTGCTTCAAATATTGGAAAAACGCTAGTTTGGAAGGCAAAGGTTCCAAGCTTGTGAAAATCTCTTGCTATCTGTGAAAAAGACTCTGGTGACATTGCCTGAGAAAGATCTGAGTTTTTATAGGGCACGAACCGACGTTTGTTTTTCTCAGAATCAAAACGATGTTTGGGCGGCAAAAATTTCTCACCGTTGATCACAGCCACGTGTCGCAGATCGGTGAGGAAGAGTAAGCGTCACGATTGAAGAAAATCAAATCTTCATCTTTTCGATTGAAAAACTCAAGCGACAACACTCTCTCTCTCTCAGCATTAATTGTGCCCCAATCTGCATTTAATGTTGTGATAAGAGTTATCGTTTCAGCATGTCACGCATTTAATGTTCTGATAAAGTGGTACTGTGTCTGCATACAACGCATTTAAAGCACCTGGCTGGCACTTATCACGCGCAGGACACATTTGTCAGCGCAGAGACTGCTTCATTAAATGCATCCATCCCTAAAGCAAAACAGGTAACGCCTGACGAAATTAGGTCGCTCATCCTCTGCAAACAATGACCATGCGAGGTCTGTTTGCAAAAAGTGCTACCCCGACCTACTTTCAAACAGGTCGGAATCATCAGAATCTCCAGAAATCATCCAATCGTAGCATGACTTATAGTTTCCAAGGATCGATCCTCAAACCTTAAAAACTGGGGGACTTCTTTTATGCCTAAAAAAAATATAAGGGCTGACGTAAGGTCCAGTCAGCATGCAAGAGTCAGATCATGGGTATGCCCGCAACCTGCTTCTGTCAGAATAGTGGGCGCGCGCCAGGCCAGCCAAGAGCTGTGATGATCCCACGTGTCCAATCCCTGCTCCAAATCGCGCAAATCACTATAAAAGGTAGGCAATGTGACATAAAGAAGGATTTTGCATGGATAATCTCACCAACCCACAGATTCAGTGATCATTGCCTCAATCCATTCCACTATAAATTGAGAGCCCCTCTCTTATTGAGGGGGATTCACATATTTTTGCATTTGATTAGCTACTCCCTTTCTCTCTCTCTCTCTCTCTCTCTAGAATATACAGCATTTGATACCTTGTATTATCATTGTAAAGTCAGTCAGCTAAAGCGACCTAGCCCTTATCATTAATACAAACATCAGTGGACGTAGGACTTGCTTCCTTAGCATCCAAACCACTTTAAAACTCCTTTCTCACTGCCTTTACTCTCGATTCTTTCTCTTTCACGTGTGTTTTCTGGGCCAGCTCAGCATCTCACACGTGCGATTCGGTGGTGTCAAAATCACGCATCAACAAGTTACAATGATTTTGGTGGAAGTCAAATCCCTAAGTTCATTAGTTCCCTCAGCAAATTGACTCACCTTAGTCTCCATTTTAGTAATTTTGGTGGACCAATTCCTCGTCAGCTTGGAAATCTTTCAAGTTTGCAATTTCTGGACCTCAGCTATAGTGTTGGTTTATCTAGTGTTGGAAACCTTGAGTGGCTTTCTCACCTTTCTTCTTTGAGTTATCTTGACTTGGCTTTTAGCAACCTTAGTAAATCCAGTGATTGGTTCCAGGTAGTTAACAAGCTCCCTTTCTTAAGAACCTTGCTTCTACAGGATTGTAATCTTCCACCTATCGTTTCTTCCCCTCTGTCACTTGTCAATTCTACATCTCTTCTGCGCCTCGATCTCAGTTCCAACACTCTCACTTCCTCAATGTATCCCTGGTTGTTCAACGTTAGTAATAATCTTGGTTATCTTGACCTTAGCACCAACCAATTACAAGGTTCCATTCCAGACGCTTTTGGGCGCATCACTTCGCTAACAGATCTCTATCTTTCTTATAATCAACTTGAAGGTGGGATTCCAGAATCATTTGGGAATATGTGTCTTTTACATTCATTAGATCTGAGTGATAAAAATCTTGGAGGAAAACTCTCCAAGTCTATTCGAAACTTAATTGGTGGGTGTACTGAAGGCACTCTGGAGTACTTGTACTTAAATGACAATAAATTCATAGGTTCAGTGACTGATCTTTCAAGATTTAAGTCCTTAAAAGTGCTACAACTTGAACAGAATCTTTTGAATGGAACCTTAACCAATAGCATTGGACTCCCGTACAAGCTTGAGGTTTTGGTTCTTCGTGAGAATTCATTGGAAGGTGAAATCACAGAAGCCGTTTTCTCAAATCTCTCCAACTTAGTTGATTTGGACTTGGCTGTTAACTCTCTTGTCTCTGAACTGAGACCTGACTGGATTCCTCCTTTTCAACTGCGGACTATAAATCTTGCCCCTTGCAAGATAGGGCCTCATTTCCCAAAATGGCTTCAAACTCAAAAACATTTTGAATCTCTAGATATTTCCAATGCTGGAATGTCTGATAGTTTACCTGAATGGTTTTTGGATCTATCCTCTGAATTACGTGAATTAAATCTCTCTCACAATCAGATCAAGGGTAAACTTCCAAATTTATCTTTGACATTTAATTCTTCTTTAATTCGAGAATAGATTTTAGTTCAAATCATTTTGAGGGTCCAATTCTAGCACTTCCTTCACATATATCTTATGTGGATCTATCCAAAAATAAGTTTTCAGGAACGATTTCTACCTTATGTTTCACCATTGAGAGTTTGCTTCATATTGACCTCTCCAGTAACCTGCTATCTGTAAAGGTTCCAAATTGTTGGAAGCAATTCAATAACTTACAAATAGTTGATTTTGCAAACAACAACTTCTCAGGGAAAATTCCAGACACGATGGGCACCCTAAGTAATCTTCAAACATTGAGTTTACGCAATAATAGATTCTTTGGAGAATTGCCTTTGTCTTTAAAGAATTGCACAAAACTAAGAGTTTTAGATTTAGAAAAGAATGCATTACCAGGAAGGATACCGGAGTGGATAGGGGAAAGCCTGCAAGATTTAATTTTTCTTAGTCTGCTATCCAACAATATCTTTGGAAATATTCCTCTCCAGCTATGCCGTCCAGGAAATATTCAGCTCTTGGACCTTTCTTTTAACAATATTTCAGCAACTATACCAAAATGTTTCAACAATTTTTCTTCAATGACTTATGAATGGAGTACCACCCTCACCACCAACTATTTCCCCTGTGGAAGTCCATTTGTGTACCAGAGACAAGAGTATTTTGACAATGCAGTGTTGAAATGGAAAGAAAGTAAATTCGAGTTCAAGAATACTCTAGGATTGATAAAGATGCTTGACCTTTCAAGCAATATACTAAGCGGAGAAGTTTCTGAAGAGATTATGAGTCTTACAGGATTGGTTGCCTTGAACCTTTCTAGAAACAATTTGAGTGGAGAAATCACTTTGAAAATTGGTGATTTAAAATCATTGGATTTCCTTGATTTATCAAGAAATCAGTTTTCTGGTGAAATTCCTCCAACCCTTTCACTAATAAGTGGTTTTAGTGTCCTTGACCTTTCAAATAACAACTTGTCAGGCAGAATACCATCAGGCACCCAACTCCAAAGCTTCAATTCCTCAGTGTATGGGGGGAATCCCGGTTTGTGTGGGTTGCCACTTCCAACTAAGTGCTCAGATGATGAACCATCTCAAGGTCCTGCCACTAATAATGGAGGAAAAGAGGGTACAGACGCTCCAAAAGATGACCTATGGTTTTATTTGAGTTCGATAATTGGTTTTGTAGTAGGGTTTTGGGGAGTTTGTGGGACTTTATTGTTCAAAGCTTCGTGGAGACATGCCTACTTCAATTTCTTGATTGATGCGAAAGATTGGGTCTATGTGACAGCAGTTGTCAGTATTTCCAAACTGCAAACAAGGCTTAGTTTCTAAATCTTAAGTCCTTTCAATTTAGTGTTTTTTGTGTAATAATTGCAACATTTCTACATAATTTGCTTTTGAATTGTGACTCGTGAAAAGGAGGGGGTTGCTGCCTTTTCCTCCTCTCTGTGCCTATTGAATAACAAGTACAATATGGAAATGCAATTTGGTATTTATTTTTATAGTAGTAGTAGTAGTAGTAGTATAATATATATATATACTCCTTTGTATATTTTGAGTGAATGTTTTAAATTTGTAATTGAAAGTTTCCAAACAATTTTGATCCTCATGATTAGTGAATTGGTCATTATGACTCGAGAGTATATAGGCTCATAAAAATTGTGTTTTCTCTTTAGTTTTGAGAACAAGAACAAGAAGTCAGTGTTCTGTTTTTATTGTTGAATTACATGTTTAGTTTGTTTTGTTCTGTTTTTACTGTTGAATTACATGTTTAGTTTCACTTTCAGGGTAATTTCCAGAAACCCCTCTTGAGGTTTGGGAAAATTCTAACAAAACCCAAGTCTACTATGAAAATTCAAGGCTCCATTTGGTTCACAATTTTGTGTTTTTGGAAAAAGTTTTTTGAAAAAAGTTAAAAAAAAGTTGAATTGGGCGGGTATTACGATGTAGGATTTACAAATTTATAAAATACCACCTATGTTTATTTATTTACAAAACATCCCCCATAATAAAACATTAAAAGTTAACAAAAACACCTCCAACCCACCCTCAAATACGGACAACCGGCCACCACCGTCGGAGGGTGGCCGAATTTGCCGTATCGGCGCATGACTGGCTGGATCTTGCCGGTCGTGCGCCGATATGGCCTTTTTCGGCCAAATCCACGGTAGATTTGGCCGGCAAAGGCCAGATCTACGGCTAGAACTGGCCATCAATGGCCAGATCTGGCTGTATTTGCTCGTCAACGACGGCCAACAATCAACGACGACCGTTTGTTGGCCGTCATTACCGACTGGTTACGGCCAAAGATCTGACCGTCAAAGACCAGATCTTTGGCCTTAGATCTGGCTTTTTTCGGCCAGATCCACCATGGATCTGGCCGGAAAAGGCTAGATCGGTGCACTACCGGCCAGATTCAGCTGGTAGTGCGCCATCCTACCAGATTCCGGCCATTTTCTGGCGGTGGTGGCCAGAATCTGGTAAATGTGGATTGCTGGGGTGTTTTTACAATTTTTAAAAAAATATTTAGGAGTATTTAATTAAATTAACAAATTTAGAGGGTTTAAAAAAAGTTGAATAATATTGAGAGTAGTATTCCCAAAAACCAAGGCTTCGTTTGGTTCAAAATTTGGGGGTTTTGGGAAAAGTTTTTTGAAAAAAGTTAAAAAAAAAGTTGAATTGGGCGAGTATTACGATGTAGGATTTATAAATTAATAAAATGCCCCTTATGTTTGTTTTTTTATAAAATACCTCATATAATAAAATATTAAAAGTTAACAAAAACACCCCCAACCCACCCTCAAACACCCCCAGCCGGCCACCACCACCGGAGGTGGCCGAAGTCGCCTTATCGGCGCATGACCGGCTGGATCTTACCGGTCATGCGCCGATATGGCCTTTTCCGGCCAGATCCACGGTGGATCTGGCCGGCAAAGGCCAGATCTACTGCTAGATATGGCCGTCAACGGCCAGATCTAGCCGTATTTTTTCTCAACGACGGCCAACAAACAGTCGTCGTTGATGGTCAACGATGATCGTTTGTTGGCCGTCGTGACCAACTGTTACGGCCAAAGATCTGGCCGTCAACGGCCAGATCTTTGGCCTTAGATCTGGCCTTTTTCGGCCAGATCCACCGTGGATCTGGTCGGAAAAGGCTAGATCGGCGCACTACCGGCCAGATTCAGCCGGTAGTACGCCATCCTATCAGATTCCAGCCATTTTCCGGCGGTGGTGGCCAGAATCTGGTAAATGTGGATTGTTGGGGTGTTTTGTAATTTTAAAAAAAAATTTAGGGGTATTTAATTGAATTAACAAATTTAGAGGGTTTAAAAAAATTACATAATATTGAAAATAGTATTCCCAAAAATGAGAGTTTTTGGGTATTTTACTGTTTAACTTTTTTGGGAATACTAAGAGTAGTATTCCCAATCTTAAACCAAACGAAGCCCAAAATTTTTGGGTATTTTATTGTTTAACTTTTTTGGGAATACTAAAAGTAGTATTCCTAAAATGCAACCAAACGAAGCCCAAGATCTTCCCTCAAATTTGGGTTTTTCCTCATATATCTCCCTTGAACAAAATTAACTTATGTAACGGCAAAAGGTAAACTGATTTGGCAGAACTATAAAATTGCCCTACAATTATCGCTTACATATTTCATTACATATTTATATAATTAAAAGAACTGACAAAAGAAAAAGAACATACTCAACATATCTTAGCCACCTTCTCCAAATCCAAAAACCCGATTTCCTTCTCAAGTGAAAAGTTATGATCAATGACGTCCCTTTATAAGTGAAAATCAAATTATTTTGGTTAAGTTAATGGGTTATGTTCTTATTTATTTTTAAAGCTTAGATAGGTCAATGGCTTTTTTTTTTTTTTGGTTTCTTTTTTTTTTTCAGAATATCATTGAAATTTCATCCATAGCCTTGATGACCATCCCTTACCATTATTTAATTCATTAATTGACGTCGGAGGAGGTATTTGGGATGGAACGCAAATGTGAGGGGAGGTCTGAAAATTTTGCGTACAAGTTGGGTTTTGTCGGGGAAGTCCTTGGAAATTACCCTAGTTTATTAATTGTCTTGTCTGTTAGATGTTATTTCCGGCAGCAGCTATTAAGCCTCTCGAATGTCATTCTCTCCTGGTTTACACTTGTTTCTTCTGGAACATAGTTCATTGTAATCTTGAGGGAGTTATATCGTTTTAAAACTAAAATAATAATAATAATAATAATAAAGTTTATGTAACATTCTCGGATTTATGAAGGTATTTAATTATAGAATAATACTACACATACATCATTCCCATATAACATTTCTCATACAACATTATGTGGTAAAATGTAATTGGGTGAAAATTTAATTTTAACTTTAAATTAGCCAATCATATCTTGCCACATAATGTTGTATGAAAATGATGTATGTGTAGTATTACTCTTAATTATATGTCAGAACATCCTTTCTTCAAAATGTGTCAACACATGAAGTTCATGAACTACTCCGCACACTTTGGTTAAAAAAATAAAATGTGTCAGCACCGAACCTCTCCAAACGTATATTACTGCAGCAGATTTCTGCAGTTTCTTTACTAATAATCACTTACCAGCAAGCCTTCAAAGATATTAGGTAGGAGAAAACAGGCGAAGGTAGAACACTCACCTAGCAAAGATGGGTCAATGAACTACAACAAAGAATGAATGATGCATTATAACTTTATAATATTCAATGAATTACAACTAGGGAAAATTCATCCTATCCGGTCATAATACATACTGCTACAGATGCATCCTATGTAACACAAGCTGCTCAAAGGTACACTAATGTGAGAATTTTTGTCAGATCACAGCCGGAGAAAATTTCACTGCGACTTCTAGCTGACCAAAAAATACATTAAAAGAACATGTAAGATTGAGACACATTACAAAATGGACGTTACTCTAACTGAGTGATCAGCTGAGCCTGTCAGAAATACAGGCAAGGTTGGGTGCCAATCCACGGTTGTTATAGCTGCAGTGTGGGGAAGAGTTCTGAAACCGCTAGCATGACCTCGAACCTGAATCATATTAATTGAAAAAAGAAAAATAGTCACTTTATCATGAGAGCACCGCCTGAATCTATAGTAGTCAGTGGGGTACCAGGCAGTCTGGACCGCCCACAAAGTAGTGATCTGTTTGGCCACAGATCAGCAACTTAATCAATGGTCTAGAGATTGGACATTCAGTATCAATTTTCATGCAAACCAATAGTCTCAAAATGTAGAAAAGAGCCAAACACAATGCAAGCAGACATGTATTTATGTGTTAAAAGTGTACAAGAGAGAGAAAAACCTGATATACTGGTGCCGTTACTGAACCTGATGTTACCAATAATCTCCTCCCATTGGCATCCAAAGCCATCTCATGTCTACAATGTTTTGAGGTCTCAGGTTCAAAGAACCTACAAAATATAGAAAACACTGATTTAAGAAGGCAAATATACGAAAAATATGCAACAATGCAAACATGTGATATTATCAACCACCATTAATCCAAGTTCAAAGCATCATGAATGGATTTCAATTGTTTCCACTATCATGGACTAAGGTTTTAAAAAAAATTTGTTCAAAAGTTGTAAACATCGATAGATTTACTTGTTAGTCTCTAAATGATTAAAAAAATTCATAACATGAACAGAAAGTTAAGTTTAATGCAGATGATCACATAACTTGTTCTTTGAAACTAAGCATATACCAAACATAGTCACAGAAATTGAGCTACCAAGTAATCAAAATACCTCCTACAACTCCTTGACCAAAGGACCTGACCTTGGTTTTGCAAGCTCCACTCAATTATCTACACAACAAATCAATTCAATGAAGTATTCATATTCAGCTTAATGGGGAAATGAACATGTAACATTCTAATGCTGTAATGCACATGCCAAACTTTGAACCACAATTGATACGGGAAATGAAGATACTTGCCTTTCCATCTGACCCCAAGCTAAAAATGCTTGTTTCATCAGCACCAAAAAGAATTGAGCTAATAGCAGAATCATGCGCAGGCCACCCAGTAATTTGTAGACCGGCAGACATGTCTTTGCCAAGTTAAGGGCATTGTGTACAGTAGGGGATATGTAAGCACACTCCTCTCAGATGTTCAAAAATGGGACAAAATTCTTTTTTCCTAACTGAAACTGGTACCCTTTCAAAAGAGGTGCAGATAAGCAGTTCAATAGACATGTAATGCCTTCAACTACAAATTTTTGTTACATAACAGAAAAAAAATAAAGAAAGAAAAAAGGATTTTATTTTCTTTTACTTCTCAGAACTGCAACTTCATATGTAAAAATGGGTACGCAAAGTGTATAGAAAACATTCAGAAATGCTAAGGACATTCTGTATTCAATCTCTCTTTTTCATGTGAACATGCGTCCTTAACACGTTTATCAATCTGAGTTGGATTCAATAAACTCTAATTTAGACCTATTACCAAAATGCCATTGTTGTAATTAAATATGTGCACCTGTCAACATTAAGGGAGAGCATGAGTAACAGTGTATGAGACATTTTTGCTCACATTTCCCTAAAACCATTAGCTACTTAACAATTACATCAAACACTATAATTGTAAAAGGATACCAAACATGTGGATCATTCCATCTACTGCAGCAGCTGCTAGAATCTTTCCGTTGTGATTGAAGCAAAGGGAAGTTATTGCTGGTGGATCTTCACCAAGAGGAAGGACTGTCTTCATAGAAGTGAAAATTCATTAAGGCACAAACTGGCAACAGTATCACAAAAAGAAGTTCAGGGCACATACCATAGCTTTCCATGTCTTCATGTTCCAGACAGTTAAAGAGGCAAACCCCCAAGTATCAGTATAATTTGAGCCGTAGCTGCAAATTAATATTGATCAAGATCGAGAGACCATATAGTACTTATGCATGAATGATGAATCTCTTAAAACAATATGTGCAAAATAATTGATGTTCTCATATAACACCTCACCAGGTAGAAACATAATTTAACAATCTAAATATTGCAATTAAGCAGATTGTTAACTGCTCACCCATACCNATAATTATTTATCCGAATTGCCTAAAAATTATAAGAGTTTGGAGTTTTTGATCATGCAGTGATATTGATACAGGTACTCCAATTAATTCATGTTTATTGTTTGTGTTTAATTTTGTATTTATTTTATATTTTTATGAAAAATCTTTTTCAGATAAACAAATTGTTTGAAATACTGTTTGAAGTTTGAAAATCACTTGTTTTACAATATCCTACTTCAATGTGGAAACATCTTCTACAATCAATTAAATTGGTTCCCTCAGCAAATTGACTCACCTTTGTCTCCATCAATTAAATTGGCGCCACAAAAGCCCTAACTCCACTTATGTTACGGTCTCACCTCAGATCTGCTTTCTGCACCTCTCCGAGTATAGCCAATCGGTTCTCACTTCTTCCAGAACCTTAACAGTTGTTCACAAGTAAAGATGGACATGGAAGGCTAATCTTTGATCTGCGACAGTCTCAGTATGGTTGAAGTATTACCAATTTTATTGTTAAATAGCAACTAATGCTCATCATGTCTCTAGTGATTTTGGTGAATTATGTTGATTTGTTTTATCTATAGTGATTATTATTGTTAATGGATAGTTATAAATGTATACAGTGAAGCATTCACGGAGGATGACTGGAAGTTGGTACAATTAGTTCTGACTTGATTCCGCAATGTTCTTGCTGTCCAATATATTCCGCTGCATCAGAAGGCTGGGGCTTGAGAGATGGATTTCTGGAACTTTTGTTTAATGAGAATGTGATGGACATAATTCTTGTGATAACTCTGCATGTTGGTGGTTCTACTATTTCGACGGGATATCAATCGGGAAGAAAACAGTACTTTTTAAATTTGTTTATGAAAGTTTTAAAATGAAACTAGAAACCTGATTTGGTGCTCACAAGTTCAAAGAATATTTTTGATAACAATATTTCGAAAATTAAAATAGTGAAATGCTTTTCATCAACTACTTAAAAAGGAGTAGATCAGTGAAAATGGATTCATTTTTTTGTAAAAAATAACTGTTAAATATATTAAAAACATCTAAACAATGTCTTCGATTTCCCTTCAAAAAATCTGTTAAATAGATTAAAATTTCTGAAAGGTTCTCATAAAACAACTATTATTAAGTTTTCTTTAATTTTGTATTTGAAAATTGAAAATAAAAAACTGATTTCGGAGCATTTCGATTAGAAAAAATTTTCCATGAATAGATTGAGATTTTTTTTTTTTTTTTTTTTTTTTTCAACTTTTAGAATTGCTTGAGCTGTGAAGGACCATTGATGTAGTTACTCAGTTGATTGGCTTTGTCAGTCTAATATTTGGTTCTAATGACTTTCTACACGATATATGGGTGGAGACACGAAGGATGCTCATGAATCTTGATAGTCTCAAATCAGTAATAGCAGAGAAAGAAGAGAAAAGAAGGCTTTCAAGACTAAACCAGAAAATGGTTCGTCATTCACAATTTAGTGAAGCATTCACCAAAGCTATACCGACCAGTGATATCATTATTTTCTTTTAAGTTGCTCAGTTCTCTACTTCATTTCAATATCACAAGATTGTTTGTTCTAAGGTGAGGGAGAAGGGTACTCATATTTCTAGTTTTTGAATCTTCTAAGCTGAGCAGGATTCACTGTAGTTTTAGGAGCTGCTAGCTCACACCAGTCTTATTTCAATTTCCCAAACAAGAAAATATTCTTTGGTTAGATTCTATTACTCTATGAATTGCTTTAACATATTAATTTGGCTGCATCAACAGCTTATGTTTGGTTAAAAAGCGAAAGGTGTTATGAGTTGTTTGGTGAGGGATCACAAGAAAAAGATATGCAAGGAAAACTATCAGATGATTCTGATGATGAAACCTTAAGCTCTGTTTTCGAGTAAGTTGTTCTCTCTCTGTTTCACTCAATCTATTGTTAGATTAATGGAGCTATATATGTAGCTATGGTGTTAATTTGTTTCATAAGTTTTGTCAAATCCATAATGCAAGTAAATTTTTATAAGTAATACTAGTCTTACAAAGAGGCATACAAAGAAGCATACAAAGAGACATACAAAGAAGCATACAAAGAGATAAATTCAACCCTTAAAAGAAGGGAAAAAGAGAGAGAGAGAGGCAATCATAAATTTTAAAGGCTGGATTTTTCTCTTTATTTGTCTCTTTGTATGTCTCTTTGTAAGTTTAGTATTACTCTATTTTTATATGTGTGTGTTTATATTTTCAAGTATTTAAGGCATATTTTATTCATTTTATGAAATTACTTTCACATAGTCGTAAGAGTTTCTGATGTTGCAAAGCATAGGATACTTTGAATTCATTATCTAATTAACCTTTGAAATTTAAGGCGTAAAAGCAATGATAGTGGCAGCGGGTTGTTTGGTGAGGGATTGCAAGGAAACTTTGTCAGATGATTCTGATGATGAAACCTTAAGCTCTGTTTTCAAGTAAGTTGTTCTCTCTCTCTCACCAAATCTATTATTAGATTGATTGAGTTATATATGTAACAATTATGTTAATTTTTTTTTTTTTTTTTCACACCAATCTATCATTAGATTAATGGGCTATATTAGGTAATTATTGTGTTTATTTTTTATTTTATTTTTTTCAGTTTTCTTCTCTTTTCTATTTCAATAAATTTTAGCCATTAATGGGTGTATAATTATTTACTGTTTTGTTGATAAACACTGACTCACATCGAACAATTAAGTGCGGAAACTGCTTATCCTTAGTTCATTTTTTTACTGATTTATGTTATTATAATTATCAATGGTACATATGCATTTGTTTTCCATTTGTTATCATTGGTTCGTATCATTTATTGTAATGAATGCATGAGTTCATAAATGCAAGTCTTCTTAACTTTCTTTCCATTTACCTAAGAAACATAGTATGTCATGGATTGTTTTGAATTTAGTAATTCATATGTATTTCTTTTGCTATGTTGCTGCTACTGATATGCAGAACCCGAGTTACGTGTTAATGCCGGCCTTAGCAAAGTTTCCATTTGAACATAATTATATTGTTATTGGTACCTTATGAATTTTGTTTATAGATCATCATGGTCATCGCTTGTTGGACACAGGAAGTCTAGGAAGCTGCATTAAAAGCCAAAGGTGACAGGCTGAACAATACAGGTTGAGAAGACAAATGAAGATGCTGGAAACGGTGGTACTACAGATGCTATGGGAAGTACGTTATCCATAATTTAATCTGGCTTATAAACTAAGAACAGGAAGCAAAATCCCTACTAATTGAGTTGGACTTCAGTTTCTGAAATGAATGGCTCTAATATTTCAAGTTTTGCACCTTTCAATATGCTGATGATTGCCACATCTACTCAGGATGATGAGTTGCAGATTCAGGGTATGATGTTGCTGCTGGTGAAATACTGAGTAGTGCTGTAATAGAAGGAACTGAGGAGGGTAATTGATCCTGAGGATGAGGATTAAGATGGAAGCATGATCAGGTTTTTTTTCTCTCAGAATGCTTTTAACTATCGATTCAATTTGAGAAATCTTAAGTAGCTGTTACCTTCCATATAAAGAATTGCTGGCATTGCAATCTTTGAATTTGCAAGCCAAACACTGTTTCAGTTTTTAACCGCTTCTCTTTTAAAGTTTTTTAAATCCGACTAATGGGTGTTGTTGTGTCACCAATTTTACCTGTAGGTGATACTGCGTGAGCCATGATAATTCTTTGCTAGTTTCAGCTTGTATTATATTTCAGCAGGATTGATACTTGTAGGAGCAGATACGGGTTTAGGATTTTAGAATCTGGGCCATAACCTGTGATGCGAAGTTTGATTGTTAATGTTTTGTAAATGCTTTCTTGTACATAAAAGGAATTTCTAATAGATTCCAGTACAAATCCTGTTAATTGCGATCAAAGATACATCATCCAATTACTCTATGAATTGCTTTAACATATAATTTGGCTGCACAACAACTTATGTTTGGTTGGTTGGTTAAAAAGGAAGGTCTGGTGAGTTGTTTAGCCAGTTATGATCCCTCATTAGAATAATAGTCATTAAATTTTGTTATTCATACCGTGTACAATATCAATAAGTTTTAATTTATTCTTTTAATCTAGCCAAAATATATTCATAAAATATGTTTTTGTACAAAAACTTTAATTAGTATTGATTAGATATATAATGTAATTTTCTAATGATTTTTTAAAAGATTTTAATTTCTGTTAATTTTCAACCAAAAGAACTTGATATCATTCACCATAATACTCTGATCAGTGGGACGGCCAACATGTATTCACATTGTTGCTTGGTGAAAAATGTTTCAATTTCCAAGTCTATGTCAATTCATTCCAGAAGTCACATTTCACTGGGGAAGAAAGAAACCGTGAAACATAAAACCGCGTAGGAAAGTCATTAATTGTTAAAATAATGATTCAGTCTTTCTGATTATACCATCTCACCTTTCTATTTTTCCAAAAGGAACAAAATCATGTATGCCAGCCAAAAAGGCTTTTGTTCAAGTCAAAAGGGGGTGATTAATTAAGGCATCGTGAATCATGCTCTATGTGCATAAGACGATTTGTTAGAAAATAGTGAAGCTAAACAAAGGAATAATATGTGATAATAAAATACCATTTTTTCAAACACCACCAAATCCCTTTTCCAAAAGTTTGTGACCTGACCGAAGACTCCGTTTAATGGAAAACCACTGGCAATTACATTTAGATTATTATCATGCAGAAGAGCTAATTTTCAGAGATAATAACTCATTGTTACGCAGTGCTGTTTCTAGTTGATTAGATTATTATACATGCAGAAGAGCTATTTCGGAGATAATAACTCATTGTTACGCAGTGCT